TATTCTTCAATGCGATAGCTGTACTAATATGGTGAACGTCTTTGAGCGTGATGTCATATTTAATTGCTTGTCTGTTGTACAGCGCTAATAGCAGTAAGTCATGGCGAGGCTGCCCTGGACGGCTTCATCAAATACCAGCGGAGCGGCTAACTGTGGGCTCAGAGCGCTCATTAACAGTGCCTGATAATTAACGTAAGCGGACTCCAGGCTCAGAGTTCATGTCTAAACATCCTGTTCGCTTTAGAGAGTGGAAAAGGATACGCTCACACACACATCTAACAGGGGAAGTCCTTAATGGTTGTGCTATCGATACCCAGACCAAAACCAGTTTAAATGCTTATGAAGAAAATGCTTCCGAATACAAGTCTGCAAAAAAAGTCTGCAATTTTTTTCAATTTCATGTATATATGTGTGTGTGTGTGTGTGTGTTTCCCTAGTAATGTGCATTTGAGATGGCTGACCTGCAAGGATTGGTGTTACTTTGACCTGGTCCCTGACGCCCACGACTTTCCACTTTCTCTTACGTGGATCGATTTCCACTTTCAATTAATCTAGGCCAAAGCTGAAATTATGTTTTATTTATGTCTGGAAGCATTTTGGTAGAATATTTATTGATTTTTTTTTTTTTAAATAAATTTTCTGAGCTTTTACATACTTCCAACATGAGCTAGTCGCAAACTTCGTAGTGCGACTAGCCATGCCTTGATTTTCAGAATTTTTACACAAATCAATAGGATGTCGACTCGTATGCATCATCACTGCACAAGCGGCTCGTGACCGATCACTGACTGAGACTGGCTCTAATACACTTTCATTTAAGCAGAATATCTCAAATGCAGAAATCCAGCTAACTTGTTTGTCTGTGTTTTCAGATCATTGGCGGCTCTTCCGCACGCAGTGCACAGAGAGCAAGTAAATATTAAGTAAAACACCAAGCAGAAAATATATCATAGAAAAGCTCTAATTGGGCAATGTAAACTCTTGACTCCTGGCAACCACAAACATGAAAGCTCGTAGTAGAGGCTTGTACAGCAGTCTGTAATATTTTGTCGTTTTTTTTTTTTTTGACAAAAATTGTGGTAAAGTTGTTATTTTTGACTACATTTTAGTCTGTTCTTGTTTCATCAACGATATTGCATGTTGATATAGTCACAGTTATTGTTTAATGACCTTATTGTCATCTAGTCTTAGGGGCTGTTGTTTACACGACACCGTTTTTAACTAAAAACGTAAAACTTTTTATGCGTTTTGGCCGTTCGGTTACACGACAACAGCGTTTTGAGTGCCTGAAAACGCAAAGTTTTGAAAACGTGTTTCAAGTGCAAGTTCTTGAAAACGGTCTCCGTGAATCTCTGAAGACGATGACGTCATGCACATGCGTATCACGTGTTCAGTCTATAGTCTTTCATCGCCACCTAATGGCCTGGAGCAGAATACAGCGTTTGTAGTCGTATTCGTGGATCCGTGTGACTGGGGATCGTTTTGACAGTGAACAATAAAACGTCCCCGCTTTAAGCATATCGCTGTCGTGCAAACGTACCCTTAGTCATGGGGAAAAAGCTTGGAGACGAACATTTTCCAACATAGATTTCGTTAATAAAAAAAAAATAAAAAAAAAATAAAGGTGTGTAATGTGCTAATGAAAAAGAAAATCAAACCACACCACAACAAAACTGCTTGTTTTCTTGAGGTTGAATTAAGCAGTTTTCCTTTCACCCGCACAACCCCCAGAATCAATGAAGGATTCATCTCAGATGTAGATTACAGCTAAACCTGTCCTGGGAGTGTTTGCAGGAGGCCGATCTCGGCTCGCTGTTAGTCCGGCTGGCCTGGAAGGTTCATCAGAACAACTGTAAATATTCTTGATTGACGAGCGCTCTAAATGCGTTTGCTGGTAATCGAAGGGCTGCTGTCGAGATATGATGAAACGCCTATGAAATGGATGGGCCAGAACAGCAGGAAATGAAACGAGGGTGATTTATCCGCCAAGTCTTCTCAGGGATTTCATCTGCAGTTCAAACCTAAATCAAAGATATTCCTTTTCTGAATATCATTAATTTTTAGAATGTAAAATACCATAAACCTATTTTGCATGGCAGACTGTATTTTTGTCATTTTCTTGATTAGTATTATTTGATTATGATGAAGGTTTGATCCCTAAGGTTCCACCTGTAGTTAAATAAACTATTTAATTGTCTCAAATGCAAGGTTTTATTTATTTATAATCCGCTTAAACCGTGCAGGAATAGAGTCAAGCTAATCAATTACACATTCCTCATTTACATGTCCACAGGCTGTTGGGCAAAACTGTTGGATTTGTCCTGCTGAGCTTTAATGGTGGGAATCTTGCAGAAAAAATGACAGCTGAGCTGAAGTGACTGCGTTATAGTAGACTAAAGCAGTTTGCTTGTTTCATTCTAGCACTGATCAAGGCCTTTCTGCATTGAATCGTCTGAAATAAGCGAATTAAAAAGAAAAGATCCCTCTTCTGTTAATGACTGAGCTGTGAGGGATTGTTCACATATATCTGTCTAAAATTCCCCCACCCTTTATGGGCTTCATCTCTCTTTGTGTATTAAAGATGTTTTTCACCTGACTTAATTAATATAATTAAATGATCACATGCATTTGTTTTGACAGCCCCATTGTTTCAGATTTAAACATCTCATGTTCATTTACGTCTCAAAATGTAGATTTGGAGTGAGAAAGCTTTTTCACTAAATTGTTGTTGTTGCCAATGTGGACCAGTAATGTAGCAAAGGTAAAGAGAAAGCTCTCAAACAAAAGCTTATATTGGTCTTGCCACACAGGCATCTGAAGCTCAGCATGGTGCTCAAGGAGGAACATTTTAGAGCTTAGCAGATGTTATGACTTTAGGATTTCCCTTTACTTATAGTTCATTCACCTGCAATATGATGTCCTGTCTTTTGGACAGTACTGTGAATATGTGTGTTGTAAACTTCCTTGTTAATGCTCTTTTTAGCTGTGGTTTTGTTTTCGGCACAATTTTTATGCCACATGCTCATTTGTGTCATCACTGTTAACATGATATAGTAAGATTTGTCGTCAACACAAGATTTTAGTCATACTACTGTGTCTCGTAATCCTATTTCCCTAATGATGGACTATTCACAGTACATGAAACTGATATCGAAAAAGTCCTCTTACAGAAAAAGCTTGGGTTTTAATTAGCCCCAGGCTCGTATGAGGTTTCTCCAGTGCTGTCAGAGTTTTGACATATTGTTCTTTGACAGTATTGATCCTTTGTGATAAATAATACACTAATAAGGGTGGACCACACACAGCTCAGAGGCAGCAATTGCATCCCACTACATAATGTCCCCTAACAGGAGTTTTTGTACAGCATGAAAAGACACGTACCCAGCAGGACATGCACTCCGGGTGGTGGCAATGATAGAATGTACTATAATTGATGTTGTAAGACTTTAGATATTGTAAGACTAATTTAGGGAGAGTGGGGGTATGATGTGCCAGTGGGTACGTCAGATTCAACTGCATGTGATTTACGAAATGCGTATAAGTCCATTTTATTCCCAATATATGTATGTAAAAAAAAAAAATATGGATATATTATATATAATGTTTCAAAATGTATAAAACAATCCACGAACCACTGATTTAAGCATTTTTCCCAAAATGTTTCAGATGCTTCGAGCGAGGTAAGATATGCCTCAACTAATAGTGGAAGTAAGCTTTTTATCCAAATGCCAAAAATATAAAAAAAAAACCATAAAAATGATAAAATGTTGTTTACAAAAGAAGTTGCAGCGTAGTTAATGAAAATGAGTAGTGTGCAACAAAATATACAAATTCTTTAGATTATGGGAATATTGTGGATTTTTAAAATGTTTTTCTGATTTACATTCATAATTGTATTTGAAATGTAAATTATTTACTCTCTAGTTACTCAACTTACCCCTAGATATGAGTTTTGTTTGCCCCTATTTGAAATATATTGAATAGATGCAGTTGTAAAATACATCTTGAAATATATTTATGAATGCTGGGAAAATCCTGCCAGCATTTACTTACCCTCATGTCTTCCCAAATCTGTATATCTTACTTTCTTCTGTGGAACTTTCAAAAAAGATGTTTTGAATGATGTTGTTGTTGACTTCCAATGTATGAACAAAAAACATTGACATATTTCACAAAATATCTTCTTTTATTTTTTCACAGAAGAAAGTCAGTTTTGCAATGTACAGTTTTGAAATGAAATGGGGCTGAGTAAACGATGGCAGGAATTTCATTTTTAGATAAACTATCCTTTAATAAAAATAAAAAGTGGCACAAATTACCCCACTCAGAGAATTGGTGGAAACTGTGGATGCCTTGGATGTCAAAATGCTTGTCCATGCAAATTAAGGTAGAATTGTGGCACAAAACAGTGTAGTAATGATGATGATTGTGATGATGGTGGTTTTAGTGACAGCATTACAACTTTGATTCATAAAGCAGATGGAACACACTCATTAATATGCAGTTATTCTGGGGAAGATTGGCTTCGGCTCAAGGGTAATATACTATTGTAAAATACTCCCTTCTACTGCCTGTTTTAATTTTTGGGTCATGGCATGTCTCCAAATCATCACACAAACTTGATTAATCAGAATTGCTCGCTTCACTGGGTCTGAGGTTCCAGCGAGGAAAATATTATTAGTGGTTTGTGCTGTAACTTCAGTGGTCAGTAGAATATCTGTGTGCCATTTTCAACCAAATAAGGATATTTTTGTAAGTTGTTGTAAAATGCAGCCATGATATTCATGAACTTTTAGATTGTATCCCAGATATATCACACAAGTTCACTCATGCTCTGGCTGGCAGTAGCTTTTGATTGTGTTTTATTCTTATACAGTTGCAAACAAAGTGTTATATTTACTCTTGAATGGAAAGCAAGAATGTGAGGACACACATTCTAGTTTGTATGCTCACCTTGGCCAAAGAGACTTTTATAAGAAGGCAGACATTTACCTCTGGGGTCGAAGCAAAAGGATTTATTAAGAAGCTGATAAAGAAGGGATTTGTGGAAGGGGAAGAAGGGGGGGTGGGGGGTGGCAAGGGGAAACATGGAATGCTTAGGGAGGCGGGAAAAGTACTTCAGTTTTTTCACAGATTCCATTTCATTCAATTTCATCCATTTCAAGTTATAATCTTAATAAGGATAGGATGCGACCTCTGTGTGATATCCACATTCACTCTGATAGCTTAGGAGCACCAACTTGCATGACTGAATGTCAATTTTTTTTAAACAACTTCTCAACAATCCCTACTTTTTAGTGAATGCATTTTTTATGACCAAAACCCTTACATTTTCAAAGTGGGCATGACTGCTTGAAAGGGATTTTCTGCTGCTAACTACTCACTAAGTTGTCAATGGGAAACACAGGGGTACAAAGGACACCTAAAAAAAACAAAAAATCAACATTATAGTCATATCTGTAAAAAACTAGATATTCAATAGGCTCTTGTCATTCTCCTTCATATCGTTCATGCTATTTCTAGAGTAGAGTAGGGTTTATGCAGTATTCATTGGGTTATATGCTCTAGACAAGGCATTCATAGCTATGAATCTATCAAGGCTCAAGCAGTGGTAAAGGGGAAGCTTTTACCCTTCTCAATTTTTGTAGTTTCAAACCATTTCCTTCTTCATGTATCGTCTCATAGCTCAGTAAAACTTTACAGCCAAATCTTGGGAGCACATGGCTCCATCTTTTTGGATTTTGTTTGTATATCTCTCTTCTCTCTGATAGTATGTGCTTTCCTGGTCTGTTCTGCTCCCTGCTAAGGGCTTGCAAAGCCCTCTCCCTGATCTGTCCTGAGTAGCTGTGCAGTTACAGACTGCCACGTTGAAGGACCCACATGCTCATTTGAGCAGGTCGTTGGGTTGAGAGAAAGCAGCCGCTATGGCACAATAGTGGTGTCTGAGAAGACAGAAGTGACAGAGTCAGCATCGCTCCGTGTTACTGCCAGCTTGGGATACTCGAGGGCCAGTGATGCCCGCGGCCTCCCATTCTGTGCCTCCTTGATGGGTTCCAGAAAGACCACATGCTTGTTGTTACTGACCTTGCGGCCGGGCCCCTCCGTGGTGGCAGGTGGCGTGGGCGTCAGGATAGATGACTGGGCGCTGCATTCGTTTGCAGGGCTTGGTGTCACTGGTAGGGGCTGCTTGCGACACCAGCAGCGGCAGGGTGTCAAGTAGAGGTACATTAGGACCAAAACAAGGCTGACAACACAACCCAGCAGGGTTGTAAAGCCAGTATTAAAGGACTCCTCCTCCTGGGGGTGTATCAACACAGTTAGATTAACTTCACAAGTCTCGTTGAGTGACTCTTGATGGTATTGAGCCATGCACAAGTATACCCCAGAGTCCTCCACTTGTGCTGCCAAGATTTCCAAAGTACCGTCTGCATACATTCGCAGAGTATTGTTATTACCAGGGGGAGCAATGTATTCCTTACTTGGGGATACCCACCAGTAGGTAAGATGCTTTCCCTTTAATTGAATTGTTTCACAATTCAACTTCACTGAATTTCCAGCGTCTGCTGTCAGACTCTTCTTAATTTGAAGTTTTACCTTGCAATTTTCAAAGAATCGTACATATTGAAGAAACTTCACTGGAGCACGGTGGTCGCCATGAAGCAAGCAGGTATGCTCCTCCCGAAAATCTCTCACTGAAGTAAAGCCTCTATGCTCCCACTGTTTAAACATGCTGTATATTGAGCACCCACAATTTAGGGTATTGTTGTGCAGGAACAACCCTCTCTGTAGTGATTCCTCTAGAGCCTCAATATCCTCGACCGGAAGGTTGGGCATACGGTTCGAGCTTAGATCCAGCGTCATATTAGCATGTTCTTGAATGGAAAAAAAGGGGAAATCTGTCAGTCTGTTATGACTCAGGTAGGCTTTGTGTAGGTTGCTTAAACCACTCAGGGCTTTGCTCTCCACCCTAACTATGCGGTTGTTGTAAAGGAGTAGCTCCTCGATTCCTACTAACTCTTGAAAGTAATGCTGCTCAATAATGTTCAGTTGATTGGAGGAAAGGTCCAGATGGCGTATGTTACTTGTATTCCGGAAGGTTCCAGGAGTGAGTCTGCTCAGCTGATTGTGGGCTAACCGTATGGTGTCAAGATTAGGAAGGCCAGCAAAGCTACCCTCCTTAAGACATTCTAAGCGGTTGTGGTTGAAGTCCAATGTTACCACCATTACAGGCAACTCTACCGGGAATTGGACAAGGCCAAGGTTGGTGCAGCTTAGGATATCAGATGCAATCAGGCAGCCAGAAGGGAGATTGGCTCTGACTAGCTGCAGCAGAAAAGAGCTCAGCATTAGGGGTGCGGCCACACCCTGAGCACACAGCATTGTGCCGTAAGGATGCTTTCGTTAGGAATCAGAGTAGCCAGAGTTTCACCAGGGTAGAGGTCCACACACTGTCAAAAGCTGTCGTCTTGATTAGCTGTTCCTATCCTTAATAATCTGACATATCAGATTGCAAGAAAGAGAACAAAAAAATAAAACTGTTATTTAATACAGCGAATACCTTGCTTAATAATTATTTGTTCACTTGGCACTGTTCTGTCAGCCTAAGGGATGAGAGTGCATCTATTCAAGGACTATTATCAACTTGCTGATCCCGAAACATCACGTTAAACTGAGACATTCAAATCTTAGAAGTTAAAGACCATTAGATTATCTTTACCTTAAGATTGCCAACAGTTGCTCCAAATAATCCCCCTCATAACTCCTTGTTTGGCTGGCACTTGGTCATTCTTGTCCATTCTCAGCAATAGAGGGTTGACTGCATTCATTTAAGTCATTGAAGGAAAAGCAATTGTTTTTGCCCCATCCTCAAAGCTGAGCCCAACCTTCTGTGAACCATCCTTTTTACAGTTGGTGTTGTTTTGCAGTCCTGACATCTGAGACGGAACAGTAGAGGTCTTAAATCAAGAGTTAGCTCGCTGCCGCAGGCTGGGGGATGTTTTTGAGAAAGTCAGCATCCTGTCCAGTTCAGTTAGTATAGTTGAACAGCAGGCACACAGCGTGTCACACGAGCGCTGGCCCACTGTAACCCTTACGATACAAGCAATCTGTTGTTTGTTTTAACCAGAAGATAAGGATACAGTACATTTGTTTATAAATGTTCCTTCAGTACCTGGAGAAAGTAGTCCTTAAATTTAAGACAGTTTTTCCCTGTTCATTTTGTTCAAATGACAAACAATATTTGCTGAGTTAGGACTAATAACTCTCTGTGACTCTTAAGCTTCCAGTGTCCACGTGGCATCTATAAAAACTGTTGAAAAGATGAAAACACAAACATCAGGATCTTACAGCTTTTTGGTATCTCTTCCAAATCCTGGTCTTTTATCAAAATGTTCTTTTCTCAGCATCCATCCATTCTTTCCGTTCCTCCGATTTGCGCTCTGAATCGTATGGGTCTTCCTCTTTTTCCTCTCTGTCTCTCTCTCTATCTCTCTCTCACAGACCTTAAGTGCGTACTACACTCCTCTGCCTCTCTCTTTCCTCACTGCACTCTATAAACAGACAGGCATGGTGTTTCAGAGGAGGAGCACTCTGGAGGGGGTGGGTTTCTTCTGAGTACTGATTGGTTGAAGTGAGAGATTATGAAAGGGAAGTGTTTGCCTGAGCCTCCCCTGGTGGAGCTGCCCCCCCCCCCCCCCCCCCCCCCATCCCTTGTGTTTGTCCAATTATGCAATTGCCTTCGCAGATACCTCTTAGTCAGGTTATGTTTATTCTCTTTAGCTTCAATATCTCATTGACCTGTGTCCTTTAATGGTGATCTGAATAAGCTGTAACTGCTTGGATTAAAATATTCACATCAAAAGGTATGGTGTTTATATATTATATTATATTCTTATTATTTATTTATATTTGAAAGCTTGTTGTGATTAGCTAATCATTTAAAGGGAAGGAGTCTAATTTTGCTGTCACGAAAGCAGTACGAAATGGAAATACATATCCTTGTGCAGAAGTAGAGACAAAAATGGAATTCTTTTCTTTTTCTTTTTTATGTAAAAGGATGTAAAATAACAATAAACAGTCCATATGACTTGGCTATATCCTGAGTGTTTTAAAGTCATGAAGTCAACAATCGAAATGATCCACGTTGTGCAAGGTTTGATGTCAAGTGACAACAACAATTATTCTGATGTGTCTAGTAACTGAATGCAATTGGCCAAGTTCGAATATCCAGTTCATTGTGTATTCATAACGGTTGAGTGCACACTATAAACCTGACATTACTCATGAATTAAAGATAGTGGGTGTAGCCGTGTCCTTGAATTTGTTTTATCTGTGCCTGTAGAGAATCTTTATATTGCTTGTAGCACACATTTTCTTTGTATGTATGTATGTGTGTGTGTATGTGTTTTGGTGCCTGTGTAAGCTGTCTCTGCCCCTCGGTCATAGTTGCACAGGTGTCATGGTGTATTATACTCTGAAGCCAGTGCTGTGGGCCACTGCCAAATGTCTTCGAGAAGCTCTACACACACATACACTCCTCTGGGTCCCTTTAATACACAACCCATTACTTCTCACCGTCTTCGCCAGTTTCATATCTCTAACTAATTGTCGAGGGCCACATTTTCGACAGGTTTCTTGTCACTCTTCCTCAGGCGAAATATTTCACCGAGCGTTTAGCAAAGACTGAGTCTAAGTTGAGTCTCACTGTCAACAGTCCCCTGATATGACATTGTTCTGGAAAATTGGTTTCCTGACTTTAAAGTTGCTCAGTTTTCACAAACAATACTCTAGAAGTGAAGGAAACATGCAGGGAGACAGGAAGAGGAACCCTAAGGTTAATAGATTAGTCTCTCTCGCACATGTTTCCAGATAACCAGCAATTTGAGCCGGAAGTTGGTTTGCACCTTTTGATAACTTTCCCCCAAGAACCAGTGAAGCGTCTAACTGCTTATTATGACGTCCCTACTGACGTCTTTACTGCACTTTCTTCAGCATGACATATCCATCTGCTTCCAGAGACCCATTAGAAAGCACTTTCAAACAAGCACCGTAAACTTTTAGACGACCCCAGATACAATGTTAAGTCTTTCCAAAGACCGTCATTGTCATTGGCATGGTGTACCATCTATCATTCTGTGACAGTTAGTATTGTTTGAAGATAAGAGCTAATATATGACTCGTGGTAAAGGGCTTGGCTTCAGACATGTTGGTTAATGAAAGCAACATGTCTGAAAGCAACAGTTGTTGATAGGGATGCACCGAATCCAGATTTGTGGGGTTCGGCCGAATACCGAATCCACTGGTTAATATTCTGCCGAATCCGAAACCGAATACCGGATCCTACTCTCATCCTCAGTCCATTAACACAGTAAACACATTAATGAAGTAAACAAAGTGGATTTTTCATTTTATTTTATTACTGTAAATAATAAACACTACTTTTACTTTTATAACTGTAAAAAAAAAAGAAAAAAAAGAATAAGCAACATTATGCATTTTAACAGCGGCGATGTTGTGTAGCCTATTTAGAGTCCTTGCCACCATGAGACAAATCGGCATTGCAAATTGAACATGTAGCTCGACTTGAATTGCCTTCTTTCACTGAAAGTACTGCCAAACAACACTTTTTCTGCACACGAGTTCCATTTTCACTTTCTCACAGCCTACTGCATTCGAACGGTCCACCTACTGTAGCGAGTGGAAATAAGGTGTGTCCCCTTTAAGAACTGCGCGCCGTATGTGTCGTGCGCCTCGAACACATGCCCATGTATGCGGGTTATTTCTGTTTGATGCTCATTTTTACCTTATTTTGTTAAGTAACGCTGTGGACGGTAGAACGTGTGACAGACAGTTACACAAGTTCGATTGTGGAATAAAGTGCGAGTTGTGAGATGCCAATCGCCTCCGTGAGTCTGTCTGGCCTCTGCAATAACTACTACAGGCTTGTTCGACTTGAACCGGCGCTGCACAGACAGATGAGTTTATGACATCAAAGTCCCGCGAGAGCAATTCAGAAGCATAAGGAGCCGTCTGCTCTCTATTCGTTCACGCGGTACTTTGATGTCATTCACTGATCGGTGACTTCGACGTAGCGCGCGTAGTGCAAGCCTAGGGTTCGGTTCGGTGGAAAAAAATTCTGAGGTTCGGCAGAAACCGAACCCCGTTAAAAAGCCCAATATTCGGCCGAATCCGAATCCTGGATTCGGTGCATCCCTAGTTGTTGATTGACCTCAGGGGTCTGCTTATGTCTTCAAGACAGACAGACATTTGGTTCTCAATGGCTGGGTAGTCAGTCATTGAAGACAAACAAAGTGATGTGCCAAGAATGCGTCCCATAAAAGCTTTGTTTTGTAGGGAAAGAGTAGGTAGGTGAGTCTGTTGCAGCTAAAAAGTTCCTACTTACGAGTTTGGAAATCGCAATTATGATTTGACGTGTATTCATTCCGACACTGCATTGTTCTACTCTACTAAAGAATCACATTCAGTCCATTGTATGCATTTAAGTACCGTGTACTTTAACATGTATTTTAAGTACCTAGCACAATAGCGATAATGGCATGCTGAGGGATATCGATGGATTCGACAACCCTTCAAAGTTTTCCCGCATAATTCTGTGGTAATTACTCAAATTACTCTTGCGCTTGTTCATAAATCATAAGTCTTTTTCCAGCTGTCCACAAAGAACTGTGGATAATGAATCTGTTTTTGCTTTTTTTTTCACTTCGAGTCAACAAGGACAAAGCGTCAAGAAGCATCTACGGACCTGGGTAATATACCTTCATCTGCGTGTCTCTTTTGATCTCGGGTAATTAGATGGGATGTTGCATTATTGTTGACACACTGCATGCATTCAATTCAATCTGCAATCCAAGATCTTTTTGGAGCGTTAAAAAAATGTAACTGCAGCCAGACAATTCATAAACTCAAAAAGAAAATTGAGGCAGACTGTTGTGCTGTTTTCTACAAATGTTTGAGACAGACTTCATGCAGAGGAACTGAAGGAGAACGATTTGAGACATTGCCACTAAATTGCCTCTGTTATTGTGTGCTTTCTCATTCCTGAGCATAATAAAGCACAGAGCTGCATTCAGAGCAGAGTTCATGTACCATTTCATAGTTATACGAATGCCTGTTTTGTGCAGTGTCCCTTATTTGTGTACATTTGAGTGGATGTGTGAAGCATCTTAAGAATCACTTGGTTCATTTAGAATACGTTCAGATCAGAGTCACAGTTCAGAGTCATCGGTCCTATGCACAGAATTGAATATATTATTCCTTTACAGTGAAGAAGAAAAGCCCATAAATAAAGAATATGTGGGTCGGGGACTTGTCCTAGAGGGTAGTGCACATGCTCTGACATGTTTCATGATCGGCTCAGACGCCTACAGTCTGTTCACTGACCAACATCTCATACATATTGCTCACAAGAATGCAAGAGCTTCTTAAATTACCCGTTTCAGTCTGATTGGCTTGTTTACGCATCTTCAAGGATTCTGGGGAGGCCAGTCTGCCTGCAAACAGAGCTGTGTTTACAAGATATCGGGTTGATAGTGCTTTTTCAGTGAGTGCTTTTGAGGAAGTACTAATTACTCGATTTGCCAGGCAGTTAATGGCATCAAATCATTGCAAGTACATATTTCCATTTACAGAATGAAGAATGGCTTTCAATATTGTAGGTTACTTGCTGTTGCCTCTAGTGATCATTAGAGGAAATATGATGAATGATTTGAAGTGTACGTCAACATGCAAGTTTGAAGAACTTTATTTAAATGAAGTATACACCTCTTTAGCTATTGTCAGTGATTAGGTTGCTGACCCCTGCTATAGACTATATACAACTATACGGTCCCTTTCACCCAAGAGCCCCTTGTAAGCTCTGTAACCAGCCCTAACCGTCTTTTTGCATGCCAAGTGTAGTTTTGGTGTATCCAGGCATATTTTTGAAGGATGTGAGGAAATCGTGAGCCGTGTGTATGTTGTGATGGAAGCTGTTCCAAAAGCCTCCCCCACACTCATCTGTCAGCCCTGCTGTGCCTGGGAGAGGCAGGATTGAAGTCGAGTCTCAGAGAGGGGCCAGTGAGTCAGTGTCTGCCTGTTGGGGACCACAGACGCCACGTATAGCCTCTCCTGTTTACAGGCTTGTGCTCTTGGAAAGACACCTGCTGTCA